GGGGGGGGGGGGGGGGGGGGGGGGGGGGGGGGTTGTCAGGAAGCACTTAGAGAAACAGAGGCCATTCCTAAGTGCAGTGGGAATCCTTGAACCCCCATAGCACTGGGAGCATTTCTAACCTCTCTGAGGTCAAGAATTTCCAACCACTTGACAAAGAACCACAGACTTCCAAATAAGAGGGAGGTCAATTAGTATTGGCATTACAGGACTTCTAGATTGCTACCAAGGTTAAGGTGTTATCACAAAACACTGTAAAGAGACTTCACAGTTCTCTTATAATGAAGTAAACAAAACACAAACTAAACTGAGGGCTACAGTTACTGTATCACAGGCATTTTGCAGAGTTAAAGATCATAGAAGCATTTTTAAACACTGCTTACTAAATGGTTAGCAAGAGAAACTATTGTTAACCTTCTATGTCTCCTACTCCTCCGCCATCTTGCTCCGCCCCCCCTATTGTTAACCTTCTAAAAAGTAGTTTTCTTTTGAAATCATGTTAATCATCTTCAAATATTGAAGTCATGAGAGTCATCCCCCACAAAAACCATCTTGTGACCATTAAGCAGGTCCAGGTAAAACAGAGGTTCACTTAAAAAGCTAACTTTATCAGATACAAGGATACCCAGACGGCACAGCATATTTCTTCTACATTTTCTATTCATCACTATAAACAACCAAAAAACCCTCACCATCCGCAAACCCTCCCAACCTCATGTTTCCAGGGACATGGAGGCAAACCCTCTCACTATTGTAAAGTTAAGAGCAGTGACTGCTGGTCCTGACAACCAAGTTCAGGATCAAAACAGGCTGGCCTCCAACCCCCACTCCACCTCTGTTTACATTTCACAGTAAAATCTTAAATCCAAAACTCTTCCCACCAAAAACATTAGAAGTGAGATTCTCCAAAGTTAGAAAATCTTAAAAACAAAACAAAACAAACAAACAAACAAAAAACTGGATTTAGGTTAGGAGAACAGAAGCCCAGGGAAGAGGTTTCTTGGATTGGAGTTGGAAACCAGAGGATGCTTTGGTATTTCAGAAGCATCCATCAGGAGCAATGAATTTCATAACTGTGAACTGACACAGTGAGCAGTTCCCAGAAGAAGCAGGAACTGAGTCAACAGGCAGCGGTTCTAAGGAAATCTCATGGGAAACTCCACAATATAAAACTTACATTAGAGATGACCGATGTCTTAACCCAAACTTTACCCACTGCAATTAATACTAGCAATTAATTACAAGTCCCCAAACCAGTACTTTCTGGCAGATCTTTATAAAATTAGGGTTTTTAAAATTTTTTATTTAAATTCATTTAGCCAACATATAGTACATCATTACTTTCTGATATCATGTTCAATAATTTATCAGTTGCCTATAACACCCAGTGCTCATCACATCACTTGTCCTCCTTAATGCCCATCACCCAGTTACGCCATCCCCCCTCCTATCCCCCCCAGCAACCCTCAATTTGTTTCCTATAGTTTTTACCTCTTTCCACATAATGGTATGCCACATACCATTTCTTAACACTGAAAAAGAAAAAACAATGTACCAGTTAATACTGATGATAATCAAAATAAAATCAGCTTTTCAAAATCTAAAAGGTTCCTTTCAAAATTCCACTTATTAATTCCAACCTTATCTTTAGACATAAAGGCATACCACACCACTCCTCAAAATGGAGCCCCAATCCACATACCATATATATATAAATGCATACATATAAATATAAATACATGCATATAAGTTAAAACTAGCCATTTTATCCCAGAAGAAAAATATCACCCTGTTGTTACGAGATTAAACACACACACACACACACACAATACAGACCTAATGTTCTAGAAATCAACACAATAAAAATAAGAGAGGTAGGGAGCAAGTATAAACCAAGGATGTGAATGCTTGGACTTTTTATAGACCTAACATATGTCTAGCTCCTAAAAATTACCACCTTTTCTAAGCTTCTAAAATACACAAATTCTGTTCAAATCTTACTAGCCAGGACTCCCATTTTATTAGATTGGTTTGTAATTTTGCTATTTCTTTTTAAATATTTTATAGATCCTTTCCCTCCACTTAACATCAATACCATCAGCTACTTATTTTCCATGCCTTAGATGGGGGTCTGACGTTTTCTAGCTGAGAACGTGACTCAGCCTGGTGTCTTACCTATCGTTTTCTTTTTGTTCACTGCATTGTCTGCCTTATGCCGCTTCTGTTACCAGAAAGAAAAGAAAGTTCTTAGATTCAAAAGTTCCAAATGCATCATTGCAACAGCAACAATGGATCAGGAGAGAAACAGGGCTCCAGGAAACGGACTGGCGGCGATGTGAATATTGTGAAACTCAGCCCAGAGGTCTGTGACCCGGCAGCAGTCCCTAAATTCAACAGACAAATGTCGCAAACGTGGCTGCAGTCTACTCTGGGGTCAGCCACGATATTTCGGCTCCAACAAGGAACGAGCACTCTGAAGTACGAGATTTCTCACGCCTCGTTTCTTTTAGATCAGACTAAAAGAACTATTCAGGATGATACACCCAACAACTTGAATTCATTTTACTGGTAAAGAATTTAGGGAGCAAAGTACCTCTGATTTGTATTCCATTTGTTTGTTTACCTAATCCCAGAAAAATGTACATAATGTGTGTGAGTGTATGTGTGAGCATGAGAAAAAGAGACAGAGGGGTGGGGGAGGAAGGGGGGGTGAGGGAGGGAGGGGTGGAGAGGAAGACCCTGGAGGCAAGACCACAGATGGAGAAAAGGGGACAAAGCATGAATATGGTTGTAGCCACTGAACCTGGAGATACACCGAGGGAGGTAAGTCTGAGGAGAGAGAAGATTCGTAAAATTACCTCAGGCACAGCCAGCCCAATGCTGCTATACTAGGCAGCAATCCATCCTTTTGCTACCCAAATTAGGAAGCTCTAAAGCAGGATTTAAGGAACATCAGTGATAAAAATCAAAGAGAGTTCACAGAGCTAACATTAGAAAACACAGTTTGACCTACTTCTGTGTATAGGTATTTAAGACATTGTGTGTACACATTCCCTCCCCAAAAATACCATCATGAGCCTTGAAAGGTTACTTAGGCTACGGACCAAATTCCTATCTTCAACAAAGAAAAACAGAGCAACAAATAAATTACAAGTTATATTCAATACAAGGTTTTTATTATATGAAAGCAAAAACTTACAAAATCTTCTACAATCTCTTTGATGCCTGCAATTGTTAAAATAATGATCAATGGCACCAGGGTGGTATATCTTCCTGTTGGAGATACATCTGGAATTTGCTGTAAGACAAGAGACCAAAAGAGGGAAGTTGACAAATTAAAATTTTAAAATCAAAATCCTCTCTACAAAAAAGAATATATGACACTCACCACTCACTCTTTTGAAGTTCTGTTCCATTTCTGTTATACCAAAGTGATTACCTTCTTTTAAAAACTAGCTACGTGTTTTACATATTTTAAAATTTTTATCTAACATGGCTATGTGTTTAGAACTGAAAAGGGGTTAAAAGTATGACTCTCGGGCCATTTTTCAATGCCTCTTTTAGTAACTACAATTATTCTTAAGGCAATATCTAAAAAAGTCTGCCTTTATGCAGAGATCATGTCTGTGCATGAAAACGATGATCAGATGAGGGGACAAATTACATTCAAGTATTATGACACTTTTTCAGTTAAGTGACCTTTTAGCAAAATCTCATTTTGCATGTAATTAACATTATGAATTTTAAATCACTTTTTAAAAAGTGTTACCTGTAATAAGGCAATGAAGAGGAAGAAGGCATTAGCAGCTCTTCTAATCTGCTCATACAAGAATCGAGGTAGAAACGTCAACACGCTGTACTTGGCCGTACTACAAGTAAAAAGAAAAATGCTCCCGTCAGCTACAGATGTAAATTCTACAAAGAAAATGAAAAGTTGCGAGAATTTTACAAGTGGTTTTAAAAATAAAATACTTCAGAATTTAGGACAAGAAAACTGCTGTACTGGCCCTGCCCCACAAAGATTTTGTAAAAGGACACACATGACAAGAAAATCTTCTAATGTGATCTTTGTTTACATACTTAGATATATTTACTATTCACACAGCATAAGCAGAGAGATTTACCTGCTTTCTAGGAGCTATAGTAAACACATCAAGAATATTTGTTGGGGCGCCTGGGTGGCTCAGTCAGTTGAGCATCCAACTCTTGGTTTTGGCTCAGGTCATGATCTCATGGGTCGTGAGATCGAGCCCCGCATGGGGCTCTGTGATCAGTGGGGAGTCTGCTTGAGATTCTCTCTCTCTCTCTCCCTCTCCCTCTGCCCCTCCCCCTGCTCCCACTCTCTCTCTTTCTCTCTCTAAAATAAATAGATAAATCTTTAACTAAAAAAAAGAGTATTTGTTAAAGGAAGATATGTTTCAAGGATCCCAAAACAGAAGAGGTACACATTCCAAATACAGCAAAAGACATGAACTCTGAAATAAAGAGTGAGATAGAAACACCAATTGAGGGATCCACACAAGCGAGTAGAATTATCCCAGGATTTGTGATGCCTGACAATTCTTAATATAAAGCCACTGATTCAAGGTAGCAAGTTAACTTCATAAAGGATGCCCTGGGTCCCAGGCATGTGTATAACACATCAATGTGTCCCTCTGGATACCTATCACGGGTGTTTTTTTGTTCAACCACCCCCAGATAAACTCCATTCCTATCATACCCTTTATTTGGCCACCTTTGCTCATGCTTGTTTGGATTTTTTTTTCCAGTTTTATTGAGGAATAATTGACATACATCACTGTATAACTTCAGGCATATGGCAGGATGTTCTGATTTACATATATTGTGAAATGGTTACCACAGCAGGTTCTGCTAGCATCCATCTTCTCATATGGGTACAAGAAAAAAGGGAAAAAACATTAACTTTCATATATATCACACAGCAGTGGCAGCTACTCCATCATGTCGTATATAACGCTCCTTGTACGTATTCATCTTACAACTGGAGCTTGTACTTTGCACCACCTTCTCTAATTTCCTCCCCCCCCACCACTTCTGGTAATCACAAGTCTTATCTTTTTCTATGAGTTTGGGTTTGTTTTGTTTTGTTTCTTTAGATTCCATGTGTGAGATCACATGTCTTTCTTTTCTGATTTACTTGGTATGCCTTCAAGGTCTACCCATGTCACAAATGGTAGGATTCCCTCATTTTCTGTGGCTGAGTAATATTCCACTTTATGTATATTACCACAACCTCTTCATCCATCAGTGGACACTTAGGCTGGTCTTGGCTATTGTAAACAATGCTGCTATGAATGTGGTGGTGGAGATATCTTTTTTTTAAGTTAGTGTTTTCAATTCCTTTGGATATATTCCCAAAAGTTGAGCTGCTGAATCATAGAGTAATTCTATTTAACTTTTTGAGGAAACTCCATACTGGTTCTCATATTGGCTGCACAGTCCCACCAACAGGGTTCCCTTTTCTATCAATGCCAGCATTTGTTATCTCTTTATTTTTTTGATGATGACTATTCACACTGGTATAATGTGATAGGACCTTATGGTTTTAATTTGCATTTCTCTAATGACTAGTGATGCTGGGCATCTTTTCATGTGCCTGTTGGTTTTACATATATCTTCTTTGGAAAAATGTTCAGGTACTTTGCCCATTTTACAACTGGGTTATTATTTTTTGCTATTGAGCTGTATGAGCTCTTTATATATATTACATATTAGCCCCCTATCAGATATATGGTTTGCAAATATTTTTTTCCATTCCAAAGGTTCTATTTGCACTTTATTGATAATTTCTTTTGCTGTGCAGAAGCTTTTTATTTTGTTGCTTGTGCTTTAGATGTCACCCAAAAAATCATCACCAAAACCCGTGTCAAGGAGCTTTGTTCCTATGTTTTCTTCTAGGAGTTTCATGGCTTCGAGTCTTATATTTTAGTCTTTAATCTATTTCAAATTAAGTTTTGTAAGTGGTATAAAATAAGCGTCCAGTTTCATTCTTTTACATGTGAAAATCCAATTATCCCAGCACCATTTATTGAAGAGACTATCTTTTCTCCCTTGAGGATTCTTGGCTCCCTCTCCAAGTATCAGGGAACCATATATGCTTGGGTTTATTTCGGGGCTCTTGATTATGTTCTGTTGGCCTATTTGTTTTTATGCCAATACCATACTGTTGTGAGGACTATGGCTTTATAGCATAGCTTGAAATCAGGAAGTGTAATACCTCCCACTTTGTTCTTCTTTCTCAGAATTTCTTTGGCTATTTGGGGTCTTCAGTGGTTCCACATAATTTTAGCAGTGTTTTTTCTACTTCTGTAAAAAAAATGCCATTAGAATTTCAATTTAATTTGTGTTGAATCTATAGATGCTCACATTGTTGCTTCCACCTGGGACATCCTCTCTCATCCACATGGTCTCTCCATAACTAAACTGCCCTTCCCATCTTACTCTCCCATTCAAACTTATATCTTCCATTAAGTTTGATCAAATCACAAAGATTCTTCTTCCTCCAAGCCCACAGGATGGTGTTTACACCTACATTATATAGTCTCTGCTTTGTTTTATATTTTATTTATCTATCCCCAGAACAGATTCTGGGAACATTACGAATGCTTACTTCAACTTTGTATGTTCCCACCACATAGCAGATAATCAATGAACAAGGAAATAATCCAAGGCATAAACTGAGAAGCTGAAGGGGCAAAATGAACCATTCCTCTTTTGGCTGCTCGAAGATTTATCCATAAAAGTACCTGCTTGACTTCTAACTTGCCTTCTGAAGACATGATTCTGAGCCAACTCTTAAATGAAATATATTATAGCAAGATTATCTAACACGTTTCAAATACACAATAAATTAGAAGCATCAAAAGAGAAAAGCAAAGGGTCTTCTTTTGCTTAAGGTATTAAATATACGTATTAAAAAGTATATGAAAACCACTTTTAAGACAGTTCAAACTTAAGGATTCTGACACTTGAGAGGATATCACTGAACTAGCTAGAAAATGTGCTTGCATGGAGCCCCCTACTCACTTATGTAGCCCTTTGGGGTACAGGATGTCACTGTAAATTTTTGCCAGACAGAACAAACTAGCTCAAATCAAGCTTATTAAAGCATAGGGAAAATATATTAAACACATGCACATGATAAGCTCATGGTACAAAATTCTCTTAATTGCAGTTTAGAGGACAAATTCAAACAGAACACCATGCATTCCTTTATGGTGTACTGACCATTGAAATAAAGCAAACAACATTATCATAAAGGGAACATGAACATTCACACACTCTAAGACTAGAAAGCATCTTATAAGGTAGTCTAACTATAACATTTGAACCCCAGATTCCATCTGTATGAAACAGACACACATACACAGTTGGCATATGACCCTGTCTTTGTATGAAACTTTCCCACTCGAGTAAAATACTAAGTATGCTTAAGGGGACCCACATGTCTCTGAAATGCCATAAAGTAGAGGACTGGAGCAGAAAAAGATCCCATTTATATGAGAAAACCAAAGATAAGATGGGGAAGGAAAGCAGACTTTTATTCTAGTCAAAATAGAAAAGTGAGTCTAAAATATCTTCAGACTGAAATAGAATGAGCATAATCAATAATTCAGAGAAACTGACATTCATCCAAGAGATGGATACTGTGTAGTAGTAAAATAATTATCTTGATATACAACCTGATGTGTCCTGTTACAGATTTAAACACACAAAACTACAATCAGCTAAAGGCAGCACCCATTAAAATCATTCTACCAGAAGAGTTTAGGGTAGAGTTTTCAAACTTAGAGATGCATACAAATCACCTGGGGATCTTGTTAAAATGTATTAGTAAGGGTTTTCTAGAGAAACAGAACCAACAAGAGTGTATAGAGAGAGAGATTCATTTTAAGGAATTGGTTTACACAATTGTGGAGGCTTGACAAGTCTAAAATCTGCAGGGTGGGCTAGCAGACTACAGACCCAGAGGAAGATCTAATGTTGTCTTTCAAGTCTAAAGGCTGTCTGATGGCAGAATTCCTTCTTGTCCTAGAAAGTCAGACTTTGTTCTATTCAGGTCTTCAACTGACTGGATGAGGCCCACCCACATTAGAGGGTCATCTGCTGCATTCAAAGTCTACCAGTTTAAATGTTCATCTCATTCAAAAACATCTTCACAGAAACATCTACAATGTTTGACCAAACATTTGGGCACCATGGCCCAGTCAAGTTGCACGTGAAATTAACCATTACATGCCTATTCTGATTCAGTGGGTCTAGAGTGGCCCTGAGATTTTGATTCGATTTCTAAAGAGTTCCAAGTGAGACCAATGCTACTGGTCCAAGGACCACAGCTTCCACACCCTGACCGGCAACCACGCTTGAACAGGTAGATTTGTTCAAATCTCCTATTTGAAGTCAAAACAGCTGAACACTATAAGACATAAAAGGATAAGAGACATTTGCCACCCACTGTAGCAGGGGAAAGAACAATCCACAGGGTGAAACAGGTCAGTGAAGGAGGTTCCCAACAGAAGAGTTTGTTCACCCAGATGAATGAATCACCCCTAAAAGATTCCCACTCAGACCACATGTGTCAGCACACCTGCCAGGACGGCTGTTCACAGCAAGGACTGATCCTGGCTGCAAGTGGTCCTAGGTATTTAGCGCATCTTAGAGCCTGGGGAATGGGGACAAATGACCAGAAGAAAACAAGAGTTTCCTGTGGTTCACTGAGATTCCCTTTAAACATGTTAGACCAGTGTTTCCTGAAATTGGGTAGCATGAAGAATGATCAGGGGCTTGTCAAAATCCATCCAGCCTTCCTTCAACAGATATTTACTGAGCCCCACCTATGTACTAGGCA